ATCAATTTCTTATGGCAACTAAACATCCCAATTCCCTGAAGACAAAAAGTACTAGATTGGAGTTTCCATTGCTTTTAATTTCGGAACAGATCCTTTACATTTTTGGGGGTTAGCATTTTTTATCATAATATATCAAGAATTGTAAATTCGCCAGAAGTCATATAATCGAGACTCACATCGTTCCCAATTGTCCTAACTACAGAGTAATGTGATTTATTGTAAACCTGATCATTGTTTTCAAATGTTTGGTATAGGTCAAAGTTCAAATCGCTGTTTGACGTAAGGGTCATCAGTAGTTTACGCTGATCTGAACGTCAATCAACGATGTTGATTGTTCATTCGGCTAATTGATGCTTATGTAATTATCTTGGAGATTTAGTTCTACGGCATTATTTATTTTCTTTTAATTATGGTGTTTATGTTTATTTCTATTGGGCACTTTACTGTATTTTCTGATTAATGCAATGATTGAATGGGGTTGGAATAATACAACTGCAGTAATTTGACGCTATAAATAGCGTAGTTGAAATACCTATTTCTAAGACAGTGTTTCTGCTAGAGCAATCGTGTGAATTTTTTCCATCAAGATCTTTCAAAAACATGCTCTTTAACCTTCATTGTTTACGCTAGGGTAACACGAAAGTACGCGAAGACTAAACTATGATCAAGAAATGGGTACATTAATTATACAAAAAACAAGTAGATTTAACAAACCAGCTATTTGATTACTTTACATGACTCACAGAATGGCTACTGTAACTTTTCCACGAGACAAAGTAAACATGATTCTCTGCTAGAGAAGATGGTTGCTGCAGCAATGTCTATACGTAAATATCTTTAAAAGTGGAAACATCTCTTCTGGGGATAGCTCTTTTTTTAAAACTGCAATTATTTGCGGAAAAAACATTTTGGTTATTTTAATCGGGAAACTCCAAATCACGTGGATATTTTAGATTTCATTTTCAATGCGTAGGACCTTCAATAATCTATCCGCTAATAACGGGTCTCAAATTTTAGAAACGGTAACCATGTAATTGTGTTTGAACCTTAATGTGATCGATTTTAACAGTATGGCTTCTCCATCTAAAGAGCAAGAAAACTGAAGAGTACATACATGAGAAACCGAATTAGTGATGTTGAAAGTAAAATAGAAATTTTGATTAACGGTATAACCCCTTGATCACAACCCCACCTCATCAAGCCTGTCATTTTAAACTAATGTTCATCATTACTACTATTGACTTACGTGTGCCGTAATATTTGGTCAGATTAAACATTTGTATAATTACATATACAAACAATCCTCGGTGATTTACACGCCTGTGGTAATCAGAGCTTTTATACTCAGAAAATCAATGGTCCATTTATTTCACCTATTAAACAGAAAATAGACAGGGACATCACGATGGTGATTAATCGGTTTGTAAGTTAAATTCCACATTTTATCACAAACTTTAGCTTTGATTTTCTGACACGTATGGGTTTTTTTATTCAATAGTTCCCCGTTAATTCATATGGCTTACTGTTATCTGTGTTAGTAATTAAGTTAACATATGTTTTATACATGATTATGTCAACTAATATGTCAATTATTATTATTATAAGGTTATAAATAGGCGTTCTGTGACGTTTTTTCCAGTGCTAGGGATGCTGTTTTTTATATGTGTATATGAAAACCATGTTATGTATCCACAACATAAACAGAGTAGGTGGTAGAGTAAAGCCTTCTATTGTTTACCAACTGTTTTGTTTTGTTTTGCTCTGTTCTCAAATGACAGTTATTACATGTTGTGAGGTGAATTTGTTTTCTCGTCGTTCAACATAACCAAGTGATAACTAATACATTAACCTACACGTGCGTCCATTGTGTGTAATACTTAGAATTATTATGACATGACAGGCAGCGCTGTGTGAACGAACGCCCTACGTTTCTACACGGACTGGGCTAATGAAGACGGATTACACTAATTCATTGCCCGCAAACTACCATATCGATTTAGTCTTGCTCCTGATAATATAATAACAATAACATGTAGGCTTACCTGAATTAATACTTGTCTCCAGAATATGTGTTGGACAGGTAACGGGTCTGGTTCCTAATATCTTATACATTGCATCAAAAAACTTGCCAGTCTTCTTACCACTCCCACTTTTATTGTTGTGGTCCTTAATGTTTTTTATAAGCGTGGTTCATCTTTTTTATTATCCGATTTTTGCAAGCGCCTGCAGATTTGTTTTACCCATTTTCCCGATAGATGGATAGAAAATATAAAATACAAGAATATGAGAAAACAGGGATTTATGTAAAATGCTTACGTGTGACGAATCAGAAATTGATCGTTTCTGGAAAGGAAATTTTGCATGTAGGCCCTACATATGTGACGGCATTATATTCTTAAATGGTATCGTATTACTTTGAAATAGATATAAATACAATTTTGTTAGAATAAAAATTGAAAGACTGACTCGTCTGAACTGATCAGGTCAGGAAAAAAAAGTCAAATTCGCGATTTGAATATAATTCATTGTCAACAAAACAAATTTAGGAAATAAATAACTGCCAAACCTTTTTGTTTCTTACGGTGCCATCCAGTTACGCTTGGATGTCGTCCTCTCCCCACACACAAATGAGGAAATGTGTTTCTTCGTTGCCCCAGTTCACCCCTCGATTATTATTATGGTTGTTTTCGATATTACTGGCACCGGTACTGCATGAAGCCGCCATTTGCCCAGGAATGTAGAGCACTGCGCATGTCCAAAGAGAGCTGGGGGCCGGTTTTTTTTTAAAGCCAATCCACTCAGACGGCCAAGATGAACCAGTTTAAAATTTTAAAAAAATCCTTCTCGAGCTGGGGTTGTAAAAGAGAGTTTATTTGTCCCACCTTTGCGGTCAGACGACAACGTCTGAACTGGCTATAAGACCTAGCCTAATATACCGTTCAGACGCTTATTTTTAAACCAGTTCAAAATCGCCGGGGCTTGTAAGACAGGATCGTGTTGCGTTCACACTTTCTATAAGCCAAACCAGTTTAACTATTCTGACCTCTTCGGTGGGTAGCTAACTACGCATGGGTAGCTTCACATTCTTTATTCGGTTCTCGCACGCTTTCGATAACACTGGCACTGCCTGACCCCGACATTTTCCCAGGAATGTAATTTACTGCGTACTGCGCATGCTCAAAACTGGCTGAAGCCGGGGTTTTTTTACGCCAACCCATTCAGACGGCCAAGACAGGTCGCAAGTTGGGGCTTTTAAACTTGTGTATTTGCCCCACATTTGCGTTCAGACGACAAAGTTAAACTGGTTTAACGATCCCCGGGGTTTTTAAACCAGTTCAACTTAAGCGTCTGAACGAACTATAAGTATACAGTGAAGACTGTCTTGTGTCGTGGCCTTTGAAACTCGCCCACCCGGTTCAGTGATCACATATCAACTGTAATAAATGTAACAGTTGTAAAAAATATAACTACTGTAATAACTATAACAAATATAATTACCGTAAAAACCATAAAAAGAAATACAACTACGGTAATAACTATAACAATATTAACAAATACAACTACTGTAATAACGGCTGTAACAAATACAACTACTGTAATAACTATGACGGCTGTAACAAATACAACTACTGTAATAACTGTAAAAAATAAAATTACTGTAACAAATGTACCAGCTACTGCAATAACAGTCAAAAATATAACTACTGTAACAAATATAACAACTGTACCAACTACTGCAGTAACTATAACAAATGTAACAACCGTGCTCTTGACTATTTTAACACGAAACAGTTGTTGTAAACACCTTCTGCATAACTACAATAAGGCCCCTGGGTAAAATGGTTTAAAACAGCAAAAATATTGCACGCTATTTGATAATATAAAAACAGATAATATAGAAATCGTAATATGTTTTAGAGCAAAGCTCTTTTCTTCCTCGTACTTTTGTAGTTGTGTTAATGGCAGATTCAAACTGACTGATGCCAAGATTGCATGGTATTTTGACGAATGGGTGCTATTAGGGTAAATGAGAAACTTAAGTGATTGAATTTCTGTTAACTGCATACATTAACGTCATATTACTCTTTTACGAGAAGATTGGGCCACATTACATGGCATGAAATTATTTTAAGACTGTCATTTACATCAGATTTCTGGGTAATAAATGCATCTCAGATAATTAAAATTATTGTTACCGCCATTTGACTGTGGGGGATCACGATTATATTATAATTTAAATTGGCCAAACCTTTTTTATTCGGGTAACAAAATTGTCGATTTCATTAGGTTTTATATGTTGATTTGTTTTGTTGGATGATAATCTGTCGCGGTTAAAATATTTACTTCTGTAGCTGTAACGATTGTTGATATATAACCGAGTTTGTGGAGAAAGTAAGACAAAGCTGAAACTAAAAGTGTTTAAACAGGCCGACGATTTCCTTAATTTTTCAAAACAAAGATTTAATCGTATAGATCTTGCCACATCACTAATCGAAATAGCACATCAGATGAACTCTATGCAATCAAAGAGGTTTAGCTTCTTTATAACCATTATAACATTGCACGAAATGTCCAAGTTGGTTAATGATATGATCAAATGGGTAAAATGTTTGAGCCTAGTGTTTTTGTAGAATGCCCAACGCTCGTTTCTGTTATAATTACAAATCATTGTGGTATGTTCACAATTATGTTATTCGGCGTTTTATGTATAGGTTTATCGAAGATGTGGTCAAGACGAACATGATATTATATGTGTCCAGCTTTATTTGTAAGATGTACACCATCTTTGTCTTTTTCGTTTGTTAAACGAGGTGATGTTGCGTTTGTTCTGTGGTAAATATGTGGTCATTGTTTAAAAGTTAAAGTTGTTTTTCATGATGTGGATCGTGTTGTCGACATCTTTGTTTATCGTAATTTGTGTACTTCCATTCCTGCCAATTGTTTAAGACGGGTTGTCAGGCTTTATGATTAAGGAGTTGCACTTTTTTGTGTATTTTTAGGAACGTTCGTGCTACTCGAAGACCAAACCGGAAGTTCCAGGCCGCCATTACAGAGGAGACAGCGGGGTGAGAAACGAAACGATCGATATCAATTTGAAATATTATTTATTGTAATAAACTTTTTATGATAGATAGTTTAGTTTTCTTGGTTCATCTTCAACTTTCTCGAGAAGTAAGATGTTTTCCTTAGGTGATTGTGTGGTCTTTGCTATGAAGACGGATGTACATGGCAGCTCTTAATTACGTAGGCGTTGTTTTACGAAAAAGATACACTAGCTTTATTTTTCACGCTAGTTTAATTGCTAAACCATTTGTTTCGTCTGTGTTGTGCTGATTGAACAGCTGTGAAACATACTTTTTAGACAACAGACACTTAGACGCACCCCGTTCACTAATGAAGTTATTAGTGGCGTGAACGTGTACACGTCGTGTAATATCTTTAGTTTCGTATTTTTAGCGTCTCTGAAAATGAAATGGGGTTTAACGTCCAACTTTTCTGCACCAAGCGGGTTGATGAAGACGGTTTAGTGTTGTTTTTATGCAATAAATGAAATGATGGGGAAATGGGAAGATTAGAAGTGACTATATGAAAACATTTAGTACCATCTGTAACAATGATTTAGCATGATTTATTTAGGCATGTTGTTTCTAAGATCTAATTTGGCGATAGAAACGACGTGGTCATAGGTTTATCAGACATTGTCTGCAAGACATCTTCGTTTTAATGAATTAAATTGTCTTCAATTTTTGTCTGCTACCTAGACAGACCATTTAAGTTTGACTTAGTCCCGGACATTCTTGTATAATCAGAATATAAATATAACTTCACACCCTCTGAAAGTTTCAATCTTCTATAGTAACACCATGTATCGATAAACGATACTTTCTACTTCAATTATATAGACATCGTTAGCTTACACAGACAAAATCAATTTACTTTTGTTGGGATTCGTATTGATCTGATATCGTAAAGTTTCTACTTCTTTTAGAACACAGCTACAAAAATGTACATATATAAGGTTGATCGTATAAAGACCAATGATCATAATTATATATTTATGGCCCTTAATACCAGGCACATAGTCTTTGGGGTTTTCATAATCAGACACAGGATCAACTTTATGATTTTTGCAGATGGACAATTATTTTTCTGATTTTAATTATTAAATTCCAATAAATAACTGCAGATTCACGGTTAATTTTTTTCAAATTTGGGCTCTAAAGTTGACGAATTGAGACACTTTAGAAATCTTGCGATGAGTTCTGCTTTGATTGGTATTTAGTAATTGAACGGTAACACACTAAAAAATACATATATGGAATAACAGTTACTGGTTACGAGCAGTTCTTAATTTCTATTTTTCAAACTGAAGTTTTAGCTTTGGCTAATGCTGCATCATAGACATATTGTTTTACTCATCGGGGGTATCGCATGTATTATGGATCTAAGATTTTGCGTATTGTGCATGGCTGCAGGGTTGGGTGTGCTATCGTTGCACGTTAACTGGTGCTACATAGTCGATCTGACTAATGCATTATAAACCAAATTTGCTATATATTGTGGGTTTTGCGTTATGAATACTTTTAAGGTTTTGCGCAGATTGGTACTAAAATGTGGTTTCATTTTACGCACAGCACAGAATATTTCACGTTAACTGTTGCTGGGCAATGGTCATGCTGGACACATTTAAGGTAACACATTGAGTAAGACTGCATTATGGACACATTTAGCACAAGAAAATATGCCGATTATCGAGATACTTATATTAAGGTTTCGCGGTGACTGACGCTCCTATGAATTCATTCTAAACACAGAAGGTTTTGCGAGGACAGATGACACTTTTCAACGTGATGTACATATAAACTGACGACTTTCAGTGCATTGGCGTGAAATGTGGGAAATAAATTGGACTATGTAGAATACAAAGAGAAAAAATTATATTAGAACGCATGAAAGACTTACAATCGTGATCGTTTTGTTGTGATTATCCAGTCACAATCTCTCCTACTCTATGCATCTCATCCTAAATTCTTGAAATTAGGATGTCTTGATTCTATCATTTCTCTTTTTGCGATGTAAGAGAAACAGTGATGGGTGTTTTAGACTTGGAATCAAAACAGTGTCAGATTAAACCTGTTAAAACTAGACAAACGATTGTTTTGACAAGAATTTTCGTGGAAGTTTAGAACGGTGCTTTTAAAATAAGTACCATGCAGTTCTAAAAGCTTTTTAAGACAGTAGTAATGTTGAAATCTTGTCTCTTGTAATTCGTTAGACGTATTTTAGAAACGGTATCCCAATTGCTTTCAATATGACGTCTGCACAAAATGAAAATTGGGTTTAGACGAGATATAGACCGTCTGCTATCTAAATAATGTGTACGAAAATGGAAAGGATAAACTATAAGCGCTCCTAACTAGATATAATTAAAATGTTATTTTTTGCTTGCGTCATATACAAAAAGGAAATGATTGTTTCCAAACAAAAAAATAAAATATACGAGCCATATAATAATGATGCCGAGAAATCCCATTAAATGCAACTGAAATATACATGCTTTCAACAAGTTCATAGACTTTGGACAGAACATTCCAAATTGTGATTGAAAACGTGTTATAGCCCAACATTCGCTTATTCCACGGATGTTCAATTTTCTTTTTCATCTTGGTTGACAAATTGACACAAATATATTTTATTGTGTTCGTATATTGCTGTCACCCTGTATATTCTCCCGTTCGTCTATTGCCCACAATTAGTGTCAACACTCCATCCTATTAATTGTGAAGTGTAACTGTAGGAGATATATTCATTTTACTACGCCCACATTTTCTTAACCTCAACTTTTAGTAGGGTGTCCGGATTATTGAAAGGAAGAACTCCATTTATTTTCGATACAAGCCTTTGATTGTAAATAGGTTGATCAGCGTATTGAAAGAACCCTATTGATATTCACCTATGATCTTCAACGGTACGTAAAACAAAAAAGTTACACATTCTCAACAAAACAAAAAAAAAATGTTTACCATTTTGATAATGCCCGGACACAAAAGCTGCTGGTAAGCGTATGTTTTGTTGGCTGGCAACTGTTCTTTTCTTAAAAGATGTTGTGTCCTTTTAAGTGGAAACGTGTCCAAACGATATGCCCGGTATTTGAGCCATATTTCACGATTGGTATAATATGGAATTGTGTGGATTTGACGCCTTTTTAGGATATGGATTATGGTCATTAAGGCAGATTACAGGGTCCCATTTACAAATTCCTTTCATATTTCGGTATAAATAGGGTGTATAATTTGAAGTTTTATTCCGGTTTCGGTAATAATTTGAGTAATGACATTTTTAACCGATCTTCAAAAGTTCAGAATAAGCATCCAACCGTCGTCCCAAAGAAAATTATTTCTTAAAAATCGGTCTGTGAATGAAATTTAAACTTCTGTCTGAATATGATTATTCATGTTCTAAACATTTACACCTTTTGATGTTGCGTTAACACGTATAAAATGAATCGATCGTCCTACTTTTCTGCACCAACTGGGATAATGTCAATGTTTTGTTGGCTGGCAACTGTTCTTTTCTTAAAAGATGTTGTGTCCTTTTAAGTGGAAACGTGTCCAAACGATATGCCCGGTATTTGAGCCATATTTCACGATTGGTATAATATGGAATTGTGTGGATTTGACGCCTTTTTAGGATATGGATTATGGTCATTAAGGCAGATTACAGGGTCCCATTTACAAATCCCTTTCATATTTCGGTATAAATAGGGTTTATAATTTGAAGTTTTATTCCGGTTTCGGTAATAATTTGAGTAATGACATTTTTAACCGATCTTCAAAAGTTCAGAATAAGCATCCAACCGTCGTCCCAAAGAAAATTATTTCTTAAAAATCGATCTGTGAATGAAATTTAAACTTCTGTCTGAATATGATTATTCATGTTCTAAACATTTACACCTTTTGATGTTGCGTTAACACGTATAAAATGAATCGATCGTCCTACTTTTCTGCACCAACTGGGCTAATGTCAATGTTTTGTTGGCTGGCAACTGTTCTTTTCTTAAAAGATGTTGTGTCCTTTTAAGTGGAAACGTGTCCAAACGATATGCCCGGTATTTGAGCCATATTTCACGATTGGTATAATATGGAATTGTGTGGATTTGACCATCCTTATAGGTTTTTTTTTTTCGAAGTTGCGTTGTTTTAGCACGCCTTTTTAGGATATGGATTATGGTCATTAAGGCAGATTACAGGGTCCCATTTACAAATTCCTTTCATATTTCGGTATAAATAGGGTGTATAATTTGAAGTTTTATTCCGGTTTCGGTAATAATTTGAGTAATGACATTTTTAACCGATCTTCAAAAGTTCAGAATAAGCATCCAACCGTCGTCCCAAAGAAAATTATTTCTTAAAAATCGATCTGTGAATGAAATTTAAACTTCTGTCTGAATATGATTATTCATGTTCTAAACATTTACACCTTTTGATGTTGCGTTAACACGTATAAAATGAATCGATCGTCCTACTTTTCTGCACCAACTGGGATAATGTCAATGAAGACGGACATGCGTCATACAGTGTGCTATGAAATTGGTTTATTAAATATAGAATGAATAAAAACAAGTGAATGTATGGTTCTGAATTGTCAGATATCCTCTCAGTCTGATATAACAACTTTTTGTCTTCGGAGGAATTTTCAGTGAGCTGAAATTCCACCGTGTATCTGTTATTGCTCGTGTAAGTCAGTTTGAAGGTTAACTCTTGTTTTCCATTTTTGCGTCACTTCCGTTTCTTCAAATCTCCGTTACGTATCTACCGTAGCAATGATCCGTGTGTTAAAATTATATTTGGAGTGTGTTTAACCAGTTCTATCACATTATGTGATAATAGCTGACACCAATTTTGTCTTTTAACGTAACGTTATGTCTTACAAAACGTTTATGAGCATTGTTAAAATAGCAATATCTACAAAAACTATATATAATGTAGTTTAAGAATGAAAATGTGGTTGAATTATTAAAATTTCTTAAATGCGTATATAATAAACAATTTCGTTCATAAGAAAA